GGTTGGAGCATCTTAGTGGTGCATGGTAGCTTCCCAGCTCAGAGTATATCTCACTGAGTGCCAGGGCATGGTTATCATCTGTGAGAGAAGGTAAGAGGCCTCAGGGAGCTGATGGATTCATTCTTGTCTGAAAGGCAGTGGCAGATGTCTTTACCTCCTCAGTTTTAGTCAAAGATCTTGCTAGTCCTATTCTAGGGTCTTTGTTTTCTTCCCTCATAAAAAGAAACTGCAAAAGTCTGTTTTTTCTGAAGCCTTGTGCTGAGGTTTTGTAGGGATGATAATGCAGATAAATCCAAGTCACACTCTGCCCTTAGCTGAGAGATCCGCGATACCTACTCAGCATCCCAGTGTCAGGTATTAGGTCTGTGTGTGGGTGAAGTGTACCGGAGTGGGTGTTTTTAGCATTCAGGAAAAGATGGGAGAGTCTCCTCAGGTTTCTCTTCCGAGAGGCTTTGTTTAGTCATCAGGAATGAAGGGCTTTTTTTACATGGAAAGGCTTAATTCTGTTTGGTTTCAGCAGTAATGTTTAAGAGTGGGAACTTTCTCCATTGTATGGAAAACTGATGACTCGAGCCAGGTGCTGCTACCAGGCGCTGCTACCTTTGAAGAATTCCTTTAAACCTAAGCTGTAGTACTCTTTATCCAAATAAATGCAGATTTCTGCCAAAATTCCTATGGATAGGCCTGAGATCCCCCAGTATTTCACACCACCTGCCTTCCTCATTTCAAGACTCCCAACCTGCATTTGACCCCCCACAGTTGTGTGGTATTCCTATTTAAGGAGACTGTCTCGCTTGCATCATTGAGGTATCAGTTTTAGCTCAGCTCCTTGTGTTGACAGTCATATCCAGAGTCTGAAGATCAGATTTTCTGTATAGTTTCCCACTGTTTCACCCCAAGTTAAGCTCTGTATTTCAACACGACTGTGGTGGGAGAGAGATCTCTGGGCAAGCAGCCAGAGAAGCCCTTTTCCCAAAGGCAAATGTGCTTGCAAGTGCCTTTGCAGCTAGAGCAGTAACCGTGCTCTGTGCTTGATCTGCTCTGGCTCAAAGGACAAGCACCTTCTGTGAGGCTGCTTGGCACTGCGATGCCCAGTGCTCCAAGCTGGGTTTCCTTCCTGTGGCAGCAGGAGTGTGACCTTGGGTAACTTCTGTTTCAGAACCAAGAGGACAGCACGTCCAGCAATCCCTACGCTTTGTCAAACTCCGTAACACCCCCCTTGCCCACGTTCGCCCGGGTCTCCAATGCCTATGGCTCCTACCAGGACTCTAACATCCCATTTCCACGGACCTCTGGAGCCAGGTTTTGTGGTGCAGGTTAGCCCCATCACTGATACGTTACAACAGCTACCAGGGGAATGGTCCTTTTAATATCTTGGGGGATGCTTGCCTCTGAACAAGACAAGGCTTTGGTCACTGCCATGCAATGAGTAAGAAATGGTATTAAAGTAGTGATGTTGTGATAAATTTATAGATAATGAGAGTAGTGAGCAACTGTTTGCCATTGGTGTTGCATGTGGGATTTTAGGATGTGGAAATCCAGGACTGGTTGAAGAGCTGGCCTTTGGCTTGTGGTACGCCAGAGGCATTGACAGACCTTTTACAGAAGACTGGGAATAGGTATTTTACTTACCTAGTTCTCTCCTACCAGCATCAAACTGCTGGACATGTTCTGGCTCTCAATCTTCACAAACTTACTGTGATTTAGGATTGAATTTATCCCTTGCTGAAGCCATACTCTTGTTACTAACCACTCTTTTCTCATTCTGCACCATTTCTCTTGTCCAAAATAGCTTTCCCAAGGTCATTGGGAAACTTCTCCTAAATGGGAGATGGGGTACAATCACATCCAGGTTTCCAGGAGAGTGTGTACAGTGCAAAGATCATCCTTAAAAAACAGGTTAAGGTCTGAGTAAGAGCTGTTAAGTTTCACTGAGCTGTTTCGGATGCAAGCATGCCTCCTCCAGACCTGACCGTATCCCAGTTCAAGCATGTTTTGAAAGCTGCTTTTCATACAGGCCTCATCAAATTCCCTGCAAAAGTAAAGCAGAGTAGTATTGCATTGAATAGGCTCAGTGAAACCTGCTAAGTCCTGAAACTCTTGGAAGAGTGGGTGGCTGAAGACACTTGAGATGCTAACAAATGGAGTAAGGCTTGCGAGAGAGTGCTTTGGAGTTGGCTGGGGTTATCCTTTTGAAGAGGAGAGTTGCACAAGCTGCAGTGGTTTCTCTGCATAGCCAAACATCACCTCGCTTGCCTCTGGAGTATCAGTGCTTGACAAGTTCTGGTGAAGAGTTAAAACATGAGTATGTATTTGCTCATTTTCTTGCACTGTCTTTTGTCTAACATCTGTATGCCACTTGAGGTGGTGCTTTTAAGACAATCGTCTCAACGAAAGATGCTCTTTAATGGGTTTACAGGCAGTGGATTTGGGTTGAGAAAATGTGGTTGTCTACTTGTAGTTTAAAAGCGCTCAGGGTAGTGGATAGGCACCCAGCCCCTTGACTCTGATACCTTAAATGGCCAGGTTCCCCTGTGTAAACCACCACTGGGTAATCTCCTCGTTGCGTGATCTTTATGCCATGTCCTGTCTCTTCAGGGTACCTGGTGTATTTCACAAGACCCATGACCATGCACCGTGCGGTGTCCCCGACGGAGCCCACACCCAGGTGAGTACCCTGTGTCGCATTTGAGATGTGCTGCTGTCATAGGCAGGAAAGCAGGAGAATATCAGATCCTACGCTGGAGCTACTGACCCTCAGAAAGTACTGACCTCTAGTGTTAGCTGTGCCCTCGACACAGAGAGGCTGGTCCCTTACATCACTGGCCCTCAGCAGAGACCCCTTCCTTCAACACACCTGAAACATTGCTAGCAGCTTGGGTTAGTGGAGATGTCAGTGTGAGCCTCCAGGGCAATTTGGTGGGTGAAAGCTCCTGAAAGTGTATTCTCTTGTTTCTAGGTCCCTGTCAGCTTTATCAGCGTACCATAGTGGCCTCATTACTCCAATGAAGATCCGCACAGAGACTCCAGGCAATCTGCGTTTGTACAGTGGGAGTCCGACACGCAGCGAGAAGGAGCAGGTCTCCATTAGCTCCTTCTACTACAAAGAAAGGGTAAGTACCAGACCAAAAAGCCTTTCCTAACACTTCAGCTTTTATGACCTGTATTCCTTTTATATAGCTGTAAGCATTGCTGATAACAGAAGCTTCATATTCCTCTCAAGAAGGCATCCGTTTACAGGCAGCTCTGTAAAAACGTCACATGGATTTATCTCCTATTAGTAACTTCTTTACTGATCCTCTCTAGCATTCCACCTGCTTATTTTGATCTCTCTCTACACTGACCATCACAGCTTCCTGTCTCCCTTTGCATTACATAGGGGTAAAATCTCACACTTAAGAAGTTGTAGTCTCCAGATAAGTACATATAGGTAACTCTGCTTTTCTCTGCACTCCCTGATGTATGTAACTGCAAAGGGTTGTGGCTCTCCGCAGCTTACTGACAACCTCTCCTGGATTATGGGTTATATTTGGGCTTTTTCTATTACAGATATCTCTTTCAGGGATATGTGCCCCTTTGGACTGTTTCAAACAAAAATCATTCCTACATGATTCTCCAAAGATCTTCCAATCCACGTACTTCTGGTTTAGGTGTAGGTCTGCTGTCATTGCTGTTTACAGGCAAGGCTTTGGGGGAGAGTGGGATTGTCTTCTTGTGGGATACAGTGGGTGAGGAAGACCCCTTGGTAATTGTAGGGTGGCCGTAGGGTAGTTCTGAAGCAGCTGAGGGCCTGGTGTGCCCAGAGCAGATGCTGTGGGAGTAATAGGCCATGCAGCTTGCTCAGAAACAAACTCTCTGTGCTTCAGCAGGGGGCGAAGTGGCTTGCAAAAAATATGGTAAGCTTCCACCAAGAGCCTGAGAATTCAGGGCATTCAAGTAGTTTGCCCACTGTCCATGCTGAGGGCACTCATCTGCTGCAGCAATGGAGAGCTTCCAGGTACCCCAAGGAAAGCAAAGAGCTGTCTGCACTCTGCTGCAGTGGAGCAGAGGAAAAGTCGGAGCCTTGAGCTCTCATCCTTCCTGGGCACTGAAAGAGGTCTTGATTTTTCCAGTAGTGCTGGACATGACAGCCAACCCCTCTGGGACTGTGTCCTGCTTACGTGATGTGAGTTAGTCATGACACCTACCAGCCGTGGGGCTGGTACCCTCTCTCCCCATTGCGAGCTTTGTCTCCATACAGACCCCAAAAGACCCTCGAGTCCCCATTCTGTTTTTTTTTCCCCACACAAATTTCTATTTGATGAGAAGAGAAAATGGTGCTGCCTGGTACAAGAACTACAGCCTGTTCTAGTCTTCGCAGGAAAATTTATTTAAAGAGCTACCTTGTCCTCTGCAGCATGCTTGTCGCTGACACGCAGCTCTCTAACATGACAGACAAGGCTAAAAATAACATGTGGAAGCAGCTTGGTGCAATTTCATGTGACCTGTCTCCCCAGCCCTTGTATTGATGGCGACAAGCTTGTTGTCAGGGGGAAGAAAAGTCGAGAGAACAAAGCCTGTGCGTAGCCACGTCTGCTGAAAGCCAGCGAAAATGCCTGTGTTCCCCTTCCCCCTGCCAAGCTATCTCCTCGCATGCTGGGTTGGAAGAAGTGTAAGGGCCCTAGCAGGGAGCTAGTTCAAATGTTCTTGTAGATGAAATAGTTTAAAAGAAAGCCAATAAAACTGTATCTCCCTTCAGCAAAGGTTTTCTGATTCTTCAGTTGGTGTCATGGCCTCTATTAGATCAATGCTACATATTTTTATGTCATTTCATTGTGAGGATTTTAAAAAGCCCAGACTCGGAGTCTAGTTAGCTCCTTGCTCTGAAGCTTGGATTTTACATTTGCATTAAATAAAAATCGAAATTTAGTGTGTTAAACTCTCATGTTATATAACTTCAGCCCCAAAACTGAATTTGTCAGTGATAACCAGGTTTTTAAATCCCATGTAGCGACCACTGGCATCACTGCCATTAGCAAACAAATGGAGTTTGCCCGTTGCTAGACAGGAATTATGTCATGTT